TTATATTATGTAAATTCATTAAATCCACAGCTTTGTTAATAACTAAATGGACCTTACTACGGATTAATAGAGATCATAAATGTTTAAATGAAAAAGAAATGTATAAAATGTATTAATATTGTGAAAGGTCTTGTAAGGGCTGCCAGTAATTAACCGACATTATAATACATTAACTGAGCGAACCAAAGAAATAAGTTATAACAGTACAATATATTTATTTTTATTTTTTATATTTGGATCTTGTCTGCGTTTATTCAAATGTCTATAAATGTTTTGACAAAAYAAGCTAATAAACCATTAAAAATAYTTTAATTTTGATTTAGTTACTTTATTTAATTCAACAAAGGCTGAAATATAATTAATAAGAAAATATATTCTGTTTATTTAGTGCATAGATTTTATTCGGTTTCTTATTAAGTGTACTCACGCCTAACTGTTTATTATATTATTATCCCAACACAAAAACACATCATATATATATTATAATTTATAATTATAACATATATTATATTATGCACTCATCATCATTACTTTTAATGTATTTAACATTTGTTTAACGACATGAAAAATTAATCTGTTCGAGGAAGGTTTTTAATAGATGAATAAATATGAATAGAAAGTTAAATTACCTATTTTTACTTCTAGCTTATTCTCGATAATTTCAGCGATTTATTTATGTGTACTTATATGATATTAAAGGTATTGCACAGTTTTATTTTTTCGACAATATAGTGGTATTTTGTGATAACTTGAAAATAAGTTGTTTATTATTTTTTACTGTTAGGTAAAAATTCACAAAATGTCATATTTTTGTTGTTGAAATTCACTGTACGTAATAACTAATAACCTTGATTTCTGTTATAGATCATTTTGGGATTGCCAACAACCAGTGTATTTCTTGACTTGGTGACAAGAGAGAATTTGGTCTAAAATATGTATTTAGTCAATAATACAATTTTGAAATGTGGAAGATGTGATTTTTTTATGTTTTTACATACCTATACGTATACAATAAACTATGAAGAAATAAAAGCATATAGCACATACATCTTAACAAAATAATTATTGTTTTGACGAAATTTTTTTTCCAAAAACTTTCGAGTATTATTATTTTTATGCGTCATAACAGTTAAATATCAACAGTTTTTTTTTTTTTTTTTATCAATACTATCTAATTTATTTTCATACGATATAGCTTTTTTAGTTGGAAAAATATTGCGAGCAAATTTTTGTTTCAACAAAATAATAGAAATGCTTACCAATGGCGTCCAAGGAGATGCAACAGTATTTGTTCTAGTTTGGCTTTTTGAACGTCCTTTCCATATACGTTTGGACATAAACCCTTGCTGAACATTTGTTGAAGATCTTGACTTCTGCATTCCGGGAGCTAAAAAACAAGATTAAATTTATTATTAACAGTAAACCTATACGAATATAATAAAATATATATATAGGTACAATATATAATGTATATAATATGGTTTTTAATAGTTAATTGATTATCTATAAATAGAATATTCTAGGCCATAATAAATTACTAACTCCAKAATATAAATCATTGAAAAATATTTTATTTTTATTTTTGTATATATTTATAAATATTATTTGAGTTGCATAATATTTCATAGAATATTTTCTTATTACCGTTAAGAGACTTCGGTGGGGATAAAGGAGGTGATAACAGTTCTTCTCCACTAAACGTCGTGCCAGTATCAATACTGCTCCTAGAACTCGTTATTCTTGAATTAGAATTGTCATCAATATTTTTTAAAATCGAAATCCACGAATCGTCTGTTTGTATCGATTTATTAGTATCATCACCTTCGCATATATCTGGTTCTCCTTTACCTTTAATATTTCTTATATTGCGATCATAGTTCACTCGTTTAAACCTATCTATTTTATCAGATTCAACGCTTTTTTTTCTTGCCATTCTTAAGTATCTTTTTATTGTGTCACTTACAGATGGTGATATATCGTCGTTTTCTATGCTAGCTTTTCGTTGTGTAGCTTTC